AAGTATAAGATAATAAACTATGTCTTATAATTTAATTATAGGTATATGAGGGTTATTATTTTGTCTTTATTTTTTTTTTTATTGTTATTTTGATTTTTTATTGAATAATTATTTAATCATTTCAATTTAATTTAATTATATTTGATTGAGATAATAATCTACTAAAATTATAGAGTTTTAATTTTCTTAGAATTATAAGATTTTGAGGTTAGACTGTCTGTAATTATTATATTAATGGTTATTTAATTTTAATGATATTATTATTTAGTGAGATTTACATCACATCATTCATATATTATTCTATTTACATAGTTTAACACCTAAAACTTTAATATTACATACATACCACCCATAGTTCATTTTACATATCAATATGAGTGATAGAAAATTGAAATATATAGTGGTAGAAATGAAATATGAATGGAATATAATATTAAAAATAATATAGGGTGATAAGTATGTAATATTAAGTTTTGGTATTTTAGATATATAAATGGATGGACAAAGTGTATGTATGTAAATTTTTCTATTATTTATCACATCATCTCTATTCCGACCCCCAGTTCTGACCGGTCGAACCATGAACCTCGTCCTTCTTCGGTTCGTTATCCGGTTCGGTTTCACAACCTTGGACTGATAAGTTCATTAAAATCTAATCAATTTCAAAATATGATGAAGATCAAAAGATGAGTATAATTATAATATGTAAAATAATGAATTTTAAATAAGACTTATGTTACTATTAATATTCATTTCAAAATATCTTATGATAATAAAAATTACTAAAAATAAAATAAATTACTTAATCTTCTCATTAAGCAAATTAAACATCCAAAAAGATGATATTTCAATTTTAATTAAGTTATTAAAAATATTATATAAATTTTTTTCTTAGAAATTAATATAAATTTTAACATATTTTTATCTTTTTAATTTACTACTTTATTTTAAACAAATAATTTTAGCTGTGCATTAATCTAAAAAATTATTGAAAATTACAATTTCAACTTCATAACTAAAAATATTTGTAACTAATGAGTATGATTAAAACTTAATATATCATATTCATTATTTTTTCATATATATATATATATATACTATATATATATATATATATATATATAATATATATTATATATATCATATATATATTCAAATTAATACTTTAATTTTGATTATATTCTTTTTGTATAATTTCCTTTAGAAAACAGAAAATATAAAATACGTATATGATTATTACATTATGTAAATATCAGAATGAAGATAGAAAATAGAAAATCTATTTGTCTATTAAAATATAAAATAGATCATTTTGAATATTTTTTCTTTTCTTTTATTATTTTTTCATATATATATATATATATAATATATATATATTTATATATATTCATAGTAATTACTTTAGTCCACAAGGAGCTTGAACTTTTGTCACATAGGCTCTGTACAACCCTATAACTATCCTTTGTGACATGTTTTGTAAGGACGTTTTGCCCCTTTTGGGACCCTAGTCGTCTCTGAAGGACATTAAGGAAGAAACCCTAAGCTAAGTACCTCAAATGTAATATTTTTACAAAGCAAACACAAGAAGACAAAATCTTCTCCCTAAATATATGTTCTTGTTGCACTACTCCTACCCATTTTTCTCTTTTTTTAAACTATTTTCCCTCAAACCCCTACCTCTTTAAGGCATATTCCTAGCATCGACAAATTTGTGACAGCTAAGAAGAAGAGCATGGTTTCGGATTAAGACCTTGAATTGCCTCAATGGTTGTTGCAAGGAGCCAAATGGGGTTGTCGAATGCAACTCAACAGCTCCCAGACGCTATCAATACAGAGTTCAATTATGAAGGTATCTATGCTGAAACCGAAAAACACCAAACTCTCAGTTACAGGAGAGAGTAGGGAGGGCCTGAATCCAAAAAAACAAAACCAGTATTCCTAAATTAAAAAATTTGCATACATAAACAATCTATAGCGAACGAAGCCAACTTCATTTTCGTTGTCCGATTAACCTCGCCAAATGATTCCCAGAGCAAGATGGCGAGAGGCCCCTTTCTTGCAAAAAGCGACAATAAAAAATAAAGGTAAAAAACTCTCCAATAGTTTTCATGAAGCAGGAAGACGCAGTGGAGAAAGGGTTAAGGATATAAACCTTAAATGGAGGATACTAGTCGGAGTTGGATGGTCAACATGAGAACCCAAGCATTTCAGAGCTTGAGCCGCACTTGGAAACGAAAGAAAACTTATAAATAACAGGGGTACGTGCTTAAACCTCCGTGAACAAATAAAATTACGTATCAATTTAGGTTTTGGGGTCTTACCATCTCTCTTCTTGCGTGGTATAAATGTCAGACAGGAGGGCGGGTAATAGAGAGGGGAGTAAAGTGAGAGGATTTCAATGACGAGGTATCTTCGGCAGAGTTCCGCTGAAGTAGCCAAAAGGGATGAGTAAGCGAGAGATTTATCAGACAGTATTAGGTTTTGATCCTTTTTTATCTCAAGCTTGACGCTTCCGCCATTGCACCAGGCGAGAAGACCAGCCCAAGGGTTGAGCGCAAGCTTGAATTAATGGGAAATTATTGACTTGTAATGTCTTGTGATAGCGAAATCGGAGAAGTGAGGACAGGGACTGATAGTCTGAATAAGAAGACTTCACAAGATTTTACTAGTTTTAACATAGAATAAGGTTGAAAGAAAAATGCTTCTTTGGAATTAACTTATTTGGGTTTTATAAATATGATAGCAAAATAATTCAAATTAAGTCAAATTTCAATAGGAATTAGTAGGAGTAGGCACTTAAGATAGCTACTTGAGTGATGACAAGAATTTTAAGGAAATTCAAACATAGAGAGAGCATTTTTATAGTACAATGAGAAGTATATTAATTGTATGATAGTGTTACTCTCAATCATGATATAATATAGTATAAATTTTTATTCGAAAAAAATTCATATACATGTAATTGTAAGATGAGGAAGATGTTTTTAAGTACTAAATGGAATTGCCAAGAGAGTAGAGCTATTTATGAATAGAGGCATTAAAATGGCTTAAATAGAGAAATGAGGAATATGAAGCTAGTGCCAAAAAAAAATGACCTCTGTGTTAGTAATATTATAACTAAAATTGTCATATTATTACAATATTAAGCTTATGAAGGCCATTCCCAAAGGTGGAGGATGAGGAGATGTTGATGTGTTTTTTTTTGGCGAGAGAGTACCAAAGATGTTGAGTTTAGAAGAATAATATGTGGCTCATAGATAAAGATTTCATGTCATTGTTGATAGTTAGGATTGCAAGTTATTTTTCATTATCTCAAATTAAACAAAGTGTCTTTTTGTGGTAGATCATTAGCTTTTTAACTTATTTTTGTAGGTGATTTGGTTCATTTCTATGACTTGGGTGTACAAAGCTGATAATAGACTTTTATAGTTTTGTTATACATTACTTCTACTAATCCATCCCAACTAAAATTACAAAAAACGAAATAAAAGCACCTACATTTTGATGAATAAGTGGAGAAGCATTGGGAAGAAAGTCAAACAAAAGGTTTCAGTTTAATTGCCCTTCTACGAAGATTTAAAGCAACTTTTTTATCATTATACAAGAGTTTAGAAGCAACCATATGTTAGGCAATAATCAAATAAGAGATTGATCAAAAATTTAAATGCTTGACCACTCAGGTATCATAGTTTGTATATTAGTAGCAGGAAGAGAAAAAAAAAAGGAGAGCAAGGGAGTATTTGAGTTGAACTATCCATTCACTCAAATAAGATCCGAGAATGTGATACAAGAGAAGAAAGAGGTAGAGGAGGTCTGTAATGGAAGTGGAGGACATGGGGAGACCAATAAGTTGCCATTGTTTGTTATAGAACATGGGTCAAGAAGGTTGGGATGCATCGCATCTCTTATGATTATACATAGAGGATACCATTAGTTATGGGTATATATATTTAAAAAAAATGAAGAAAAATGAGTGTAAGAAGAATTGATTGAAGATTTCATATATTCAGGAGAGAAAAAAGCCCATGCTTGTTGTCATTGATTTGCTTCGCCCTATTGATGAGAGGCATTATCTTCTCCAAGATTTTAAATGCCAAGACTGTTGAATACTCTAAGGACAAGGAGAAAGCATTAGGCAGGGGAAAGAGCTATGTGGTCTAATATTTTAAAAATCATAAAACATCGAAGCTCGCGCTCGCGCGCTCCATTTCTTATGAAAACAGCATGATTCTAGAAGTTGAAAATCTTTACATTAACGTCAATTTTGTTCAATTACATTAATTCCTTATATTTTCTTAAGAATAGACTGAATTTTGTGCTGTCTAAAGACCTATGGGGTCCAAGCATTAGTTGTGTTGGATAAATTATTTTATTAGAATTTAAATTAAGTTTTTTGAATTAATATTATATATATATATATATATATATATATTATTATTATTAATTCATAGTATTTCACTTTAGTCACAAGGAGCTTGAACTTTTGTCCCATAGCTCTGTGCAATCCTATAAATATCCCTTGTGACAATGTTTGAAGGACGTTTTGACCCTTTTAGGACCCTAGTCGTCTCTGAAGGGACATTAAGGAAGATACCCTAAGCTAAGTACCTCAAATGTAATATTTTCTACAAAGCAAACATAATAGTATTTCACTTTAGTCACAAGGAGCTTGAACTTTTGTCCCATAGCTCTGTGCAATCCTATAAATATCCCTTGTGACAATGTTTGAAGGACGTTTTGACCCTTTTAGGACCCTAGTCGTCTCTGAAGGGACATTAAGGAAGATACCCTAAGCTAAGTACCTCAAATGTAATATTTTCTACAAAGCAAACACAAGAAGACAAGTCTTCTCCCTAAATATATGTTCTGTTCATTTACTCCCTACTCCATTTTTTTCTTTTTTTTTAACTCTTTTCCCTCAACCCCTATCTCTTTAAGGCAGACCCTAGCGTCGACAAATGTGACAGCTAAGAAGAAGAAGCATGGTGCGGATTAAAGACCTGAATTGCCTCAAATGTTGTTGACAAGGAGCCAAATGGGTTGTCAATGGCATACTCAACAGCTCCCAGGACGCTATCAATACAGAGTTCAATTATGAAGGTATCTAATTGCTGAACCGAAACACACCAAACTCCCAAGTTACAGATGGCCTGAAATCCAAACAAAACCAGTCACCATAAATAAAAAATTTGCCTACATCAAACAATCTTAGCAACAACCAACCTTCATTTTCGTTGTCACAATTAACCTCGCCAATGAATCCAGAGCAGATCGAGAGGCCCCTTCTGCAAAAGCGACCAATGAAAAATAAATAAAACTCTCCAATAGTTTCATAAGCAGGAAACCAGTGGAAAAGGGTTCGATATAAACCTGAAATGGAGGATACTAGCGATGGATGGTACAACATGAAACCCAAGCATTTCAGAGCTTGAGCCGCACTGGAAAACGAAAGAAAACTTATAAATAACAGGGGTACGTAGCCTAAACCCGTGACAAATAAATTACGTATCAATTAGTTTTGGGGTCTAACATCTCCTCTTCTTGGTGATAAATGTCAGAAAGGAGGGCGGGTAATAGAGGAGGGGAGTAGAGTGAGAGGATTTCCATGGACGAGGTATCTTCGGCAGAGTTCCGCTGAAGTAGCAAAAGGGATGAGTAAGCGAGAGATTTATCAGACAGTATTAGGGTTTTGATCTTTTTTATCTCAAGCTTGACGGCTTCCGCCATTGCACACAGAGGACCAGCCAAGGGTGAGCGCCAAGCTTGAAATAATGGGAAATTTGGCTTGTGATATCTTGTGAATGCGAAATCGGAGGAAGGAGGACAGGACTGATAGTTTGAATAAGAAGACTTCACAAGATTTTACTAGGTTTTAACATAATTAGAATAAGGTTGAAAGAAAAATGCTTCTTTGGAAATTGACTTATTTGAGTTTTATAAATATATAGCAAAATAATTCAAATAAGTCAATTTCAATAGGATTAGTAGGAGTAGGCACTTAGATAGCTACTTGAGTGATGACAAGAATTTTAAAAATTCAAACATAGAGAGAGCAATTTATAGTACAATGAGAGTTATAATTGTATGATAGTGTACTCTCAATCATGATAAATATAGTATAATTTTTATTCGAAAAAATTCATATACATGTAATTGATTGAAGATGAGGAAGATGTTTTTAAGTACTAATGGAATTGCCAAGGAGATAGACTATTATGATAGAGGGCATTAAAATGGTTAAATAGAGAAATGAGGAATTATGAAGCTAGTGCCCAAAAAAAATGCCTCTGTGTAGTAATATTATAACTAAAATTGTCATATTATTACAATATTAAGCTTATGAAGCCATCCCAAAGGTGGAGATGAGAGATGTGATGTGTTTTTTTTGGGAGAGAGTACCAAAGATGTTGAGTTAGAAGAATAATATGGTGCTCATAGATAAAGATTTCATGTCATTGTTGATAGTTAGGATGCAAGTATTTTTCATTATCTCAAATTAAACAAAGTGTCTTTTTGTGGTAGATCATTAGCTTTTAACTTATTTTTTGTAGGTGATTGTTCATTCTATGCTGGTGTACAAAGCTGATAATAGACTTTTATAGTTTTGTTATACATACTTCTACTCAATCCATCCCAACTAAAATTACAAAAAAGAATAAAAGCACCTACATTTTGATGATATAAGTGGAGAAGCATTGGAAGAAAGTCAACAAAAGGTTAGTAAATGCCCTTCTACGAAGATTTAAAGCAACTTTTTTATCATTATACAAGAGTTTAGAAGCAACCATATTTGGTTAGGCAATAATCAAATAAGATTGGATCAAAAATTAAATGCTTTGACCAATCATATTCATAGTTTTGTATATTAGTAGCAGGAAGAAAAAAAAGGAGAGCAAGGGAGTATTTGATGTTGACTCATCCATTCACTCAAATAAGATCGAGAATGTGATACAAGAGAAGAAAGAGGTAGAGGAGGTCTGAATGGAAGTGGAGGACATGGGAGACCAATAAGTTGCCATTGTTTGTATAGAACATGGGTCAAGAAGGTTGGGGATGTCATCGCATCTCTTATGATTATACATAAGAGTGATACATAGTTATTGGGGTTTAAAATAAAGAAGAAAAATAGTAGTAAGAAGAATTTGATTGAAGATTTCATATATTCAAGGAAGAGAAAAAAGCCCATGCTTGTTGTCATTGATTTGCTTCGCCCTATTGATGAGAGGCATTATCTTTCTCCAAGTTTTAAATGCCAAGACTGTTGAATACTCTAAGGACAAGGAGAAAGCATTAGGCAGGGAAAGAGCTATGTGGTTCTAATATTTTAAAAATCATAAAACATCGATAGATAAGAAGGTGAGAAATCATTTCTTTATGAAAAGCATGATTCTAGAAGTTGAATAATCTTTACATTAACGTCAATTTTTTTCATTACATTAATTCCTTATATTTCTTAAGAATAGACTGAATTTTGTGCTGTCTAAAGACCTATGGGTCAAGCATAGTTGTGTTGGATAAATTATTTGATTAGAATTCTAGATAGGTAAGCTGCACTTTTAGTAAGTACAAGAAAAAAGGACTCTTCCAAATGACCTAAAGACGCCATCATGCACGTCATGTGAGAAGACAAGTTTTTAAAGTTATAATATAATGTTCATATATTTTCTTTTTTAGATTTCTCTTCCTATAAAGCCCATGATGTTATTGACTTGGACACCTCTTACACCTTAGTGTATCCCTTATAGGCAACAATAAGTTTATTCTCCTAGTGCTTCGCTTGGTTGCTTGAGATGTAAGGATTATTTGATAATGGGTAAGAACTTATCTCCTCTAAATTTCTTAGAAGTGGAGGAGAGACACCACAGATAAGGTCTCAAGGTCTACAACAACATAAGAGACTTGGTATTTTAATAAAAAATTATATATACTTTTGCACATAGTCTAATTTGTGTATTATATAGTGCTTTAAGCAAAGATTGTAGAACATGTAAGATAAAACATATGATTCATGGTAGAACTATTTTGGTTCATCTTTAAGTAGTTGAGGGACCAAAATGGTCCTTTAATATAGTTAGGGACTATTTTAGTCTTTCATAAAAAGTCAATGGACTATTTTGACCCTTCTCTCTCTCTCAATCTATATATATATATATATATATATATATCAATTGTATCATCTTAATATAACTAATTTTAAATCTATCTCTTTTCTTAATAATGTTATGCTAACTCCTTAGATGGGATGAAATTTTATTATATGCTTGCATAATATCTACTTATGTGTTTGGACATTCATAAACTTAGGTAATGATGTCCTCTCTCAATCCTCACAAATATTTTCATTAATTAATAACATTAAAAATCATAGTATGCTTAAGTGTTTGAATGTTAACATTTGCCTATATACATATTAGTTTGCATTCATTATTGGTTTACCACATTATATTTCCTCTTTTTAACCTCTAATGACAAACAAGTTCAATAACTTTAATGCTTTTAGTGAAGGATGTTAACCTATTTTTTTGTCAAATTAAATCAATCTATCTATCTAATTAAGAAAGTGTTAAAAATAATTTTGAAGTTACTTTATGAGTAACTGATTAGTAGGTTTACACAATCACATTTCATTTATATAAGTCATGTTATGTCCTGCTCAGCATGCAAAAATTATATAAATTGGTGCAACTTTATTACAAATCTTATAATCCTCCCAAATCCAGTTAGTATGAAGTCAAATAATTCCTTAGAGATGTCAAACAGTCCACTCAAGTATTCAATCATAAGCAAGGTCTCACAATCCTCCTATTCTACAACATATTGATTTTAATTTACATTCACATTATTATCTAGTGCATTCAAGTATTCATTAAAATATGAAGGAAAGCCCATGCTTTATACTCAACCATATGTTGCATTCAAGTATTCATTAAAAGTTGAAGGAAAGCCTTGAAGTCCCTCTATGGCTCAATCCCTCGAGTGGTGAATCAAAATATGCATTTGACAAAGCAAGAAGCCTTTTATTAGATATGATTTACTTAAAATTATCCCCATGAGCATACTCCCATCTTAAGTCTATAAGAACCTCTAGGATGACAACCAATTGCTACCAAAAAGGACTCACCATTAAATTGGATCAACTAAATCGGTTGACTAAGTACATAATGGTCCATGAAAACTCATGGTAATGAAACCATTAGATTTTAATGGGTTCATCATCACTACCCACACAATCTAATTGTGATAAATTATCTCTAATATTTAATCCAAAGTATTACTAATATATGTTAAGCACTTAAACCTACTAACTATCCTTAATCAAAAGTTATCTCTCATGCTTAGAAGGGTTAATTAATCAAGGAAAACTTTTGAAATTCTGAAGTATGTTCATAAAGCATTACAAAAATGAGGGAGAAATCTTTGGATATTATCTCATATGCATTCCAGTTTTTCTTCTAAAAATTTAATCTGAAGAAAACTTTTACAAAAGCGATAGACACAAATTTTTGGAGCTTGCAAATCCATGTATTATGAAGGGACAATGAACTCTTTGAATTCATAGTAAAAATGCAAGCACGCATCATGCTGGGTTTCACACCCTAGAATCAAATTTGGAAGAACTGACTATTTGATCTTTTTAATCATCTACCAGAGCTTCTATAAATCATCAATATTTAATTTATATACATCCAGTGAAAGCATCTAACAATTGTATAGATCAAAATATTTCACTATAATCATTAATGCTGCAAAAAAAATTTATATACAATAGCTAGGATATTAGTATAATAATAATATATCCATAGCTCCTGATTATAAAAGTGCGAAAGAAAATATAAAATAATAGTTAAAAAAACTAGAAGATTTATGAAAATCTAACTCCACCTGGTCTTAATCCCTTCCTTGAACTGAAATTATTAAAATCTATATAAGAAGTTAAAAATTCTAGTAGTAAATCAAATTTTTTTTTTTTTTTTTTTTTGAGAAGATGCATATAGCATTGAAATAAAAAGGGAAACTATTACAAACTAGAAAATAACTAGCTAGGCTATCCTTTCAAAATAGTAAAAGGAAGCCTTATTTAAAAGCAATTTAAGCATAATGAAAGTATTCAAAAAATAGGAAATGTCATAATGAAAATAAGACCCTCTACTAATCATTTTAAACCAATAGGGGTGGAGGGGATACCAAAGATTAAACAACCAAAAAGGTTGATTAGTATCCCATAATTCCCAATTAAGTAAAAAAAAAGGTAAAATGATGCTTAAATTCCATTAGTCTAGTTCCTTTTTTCCAAATACCAACATATGCTTAAAATAAATCTTGAAAAAACAAGATTGCTAAACAAAGAAAATAAAATGGAATGAAAGCTTGTAGTAATTCAAATTCACTTAAGCTTACGCAAGGCTAGAAGAATCAATACGCGTCTTAGTTCAGTCAATATAGTCAATAACATTTATTCTCATCAATAATAATTTATTATTCGTAAGGTTCACAATGATTAATGATAAAAGCAATAAATCATTTTAATGAATCAATAATCGATAGAAGAATCAATAATATGTAAAGCAATCATACTAAAAAGCATTCATAAATTAATAAAGGAATCGTAACATTTATATGTTAATATCATCAATCTTATAAATCCTATCTATTATAAGTCATATGCATCACATGCAATCAATACATGTATTTGTATCCATTATGATCTATATATCAGTGTCATATGTCAATGCTATCAATATGTATATGCATCACATTATGATCTATATATCTGCTTGACTCACTTACACCCCTAATTGTAGCACTCCAATTCAAACAAAAATTCAAATATTTC